CGTCGTCGTCCTTCAGGGTCGGCGGCGCTGGCCGTCAGGCCTTCGCAATACACATTCAGCGCCTCGCAAGCTGCTCCTATCCCCCACTCCGATCCGCAACTGCGGGGGCTAATCATGGTACTGCTAATCATGGTACTGGACGCCCTCGTCCTCTCGCTCCTCCCTCCCCGCTCCCAAGCCTGACTCCCTCCCCCAACACGCTGTTATTCTTAAGCCGGGCCTGTCCCCCTACAGGCGGATTTTGGATGAAAAATACAGAATAATAAAAAACACACACTAAAGTGGCAAAACATACAAAAGCAACTCGTCCCCAGACTATGTTTCGACCATTTTTGAATATTCCCACTGTAGATCGGTGGCTTGAAGGCTTGGGATGGACGGTGCGGGCAGGAGAGCGGGGCTGGGCCGGGCTGACCGGCCCTGGGATCTAGAGTTAGTCCCGCGTGTCCCCGTCCAGGGGGATTTTGGGCGAAAATTAAAAGAAGCTCAAACATACCCCCAAATATTCAAAAATAGTTTAAACATGTCCCCAGACTATTTTTCGACTACTTTTGAATATCCCCCCTGTAGAGGGACACGCCCGGGAGTCTGAGCGCTGGGAGGTCGGCGAGGGTTTGGTCGGTTCCTGGACCCGTCGCCGCGAGGGCTGCTCGGAGGTGGGGGGTGCCAGGGCGGTGAAGGACAAGAGCACCGAGGCGTTCCTCACCCCCTGCTTGCGCTCTCCGCCAGACTGCGAGCTTGGAAGGTTCGACTGCGCTCCCTGGAGCTATTGTCGGCGGTGGACAAACCTCCCTTTAGTAGACCTCCCCTTAATGAAAACGGCCTCGGACCGAAACCAACGGACCTGGACCCGCAAAAATGACGGCCGCGACGCCCCCTCGCGAACCGAAAACGGCCAATTCGCTAATCGACGTGTCAGGGTAGGATGTCTATCCAACCCCGACATTTCAAGCCATGCACTTCCTCCTCGCCAGCTTCCCGCACGTGCAGGCAAACAAAAACAGCAGCCAATACGCATCGCCGCTTCCGAACACGTGCGCACTCAGGCACCCCCCCAGCTGCCGTGCTTGCCTCCTGGTCCCGCCACACGGCCGCCCCCGCATCGCGGCCTCGGACAACGGCAGGCGGCGCGGCCAAACAGGACCCGACGAGCCCGCACAGAAGGCCCGCGCCTTCTAAGAAGCAGGGGTGTTTCTGAGAAGCCTTCCCCTCCTCCTCCTCCTCCTCCTCCTCCTCCTCCTCCTCCTCCTCCTCCTCCTCCTCCTCCTCCCTCCTCCTCCTCCCTCCCTCCTCCCTCCTCCTCCCCTCCTCCTCCCTCCTCCTCCCCCTCCTCCTCCCATCCTCCTCCTCCTCCTCCTCCTCCTCCTCCTCCTCCTGCTCCTCCTCCTCCTCCTCCCGGGGGGGGGGGGGCGGACATCGACATGGAATCTGCGGTGCATCGTCGGCACATCAGTGAGATAGAGGCCCCCGAAAGCTGCCCCGCACGCCCCTGGGCGGGGCGGGGCTATATCTGGGACCTCATATCGGCGATCGGTGGGGCGACTGCTGGGTCGGTGCCCTCCCCCAACTGAGCGCAGCCCCCCCTCCCTGCCCTCCCTGTTCGTTTTGTTTTCGTCCTTCCTCGTTCTGTCTTCCATCAGCCTTTCGCGCGCGAAACGATATCGAAACGAAAACGGCCCACGAGATCGCCAAAACACCGTCCAGGTCCACCCCCGCTGTGCCCCCCGTCTCTGGCGCCCTGCTTCCGCGGGCGCCTCGGCCGGCTCCCACCACGCAGCTCCGGCCGCCGCCGCCGTGGACCAGAGGCCGCGGCGGCCGCGAGCAGGCCGAGCCCGCGGGGACTCCGGCCTCCGCGCGGACCGGCGGGCCGCGCCGCGGGGCCCCCCCAAGCCGGCCCCAGGAGCGCCAGGGAGCCTCGCGGGTGCCCCCATCGGGGCCGCCTGGGGCCCCGGGGCGCGCGGCGCCCGGGGCCCTCTTGTGCCCCCCCCCCCCTCCACTGGGCCTCTCTGCAGAGGCCGCCTCGGGCCGATCCTGGCTGGGGCAGGGCGCCCTGCCCGCGCGGGCCCGCAGAGTGGGCGCCGTGGGCAGCAGGGCGCGCGTGCGCAGCCCAGGCGCACGTCCGCGCGCCCCGAGGCGGGCGGCGGCAGAGGCGGCGGAGCCGGCTGGGCCCGCAGGAGTCCAGCGAAGCGGGCCCCGCTGTGGCCTGGACGCGGCACCTGCCGGAGCAGGGGGGCAGCAGCGGGCGCTCGGAACGCCAGCCACCCCCTCGGCAGTGGCGGGCAGCACGCCGCCCCCCTCCCTCCCCGGGAGGTCGAAAGCTCCGCGGGCACTCCTGGCCAGGTGGCGCCACTTGTCACAGTCCGGACGAACCCCCCTGTGTCTACCACACACGACCTCGTCGGCGCCTCATCTCTGCCCGAGCCCGCAATCCCACCGACGGGGCTTTCTCCTGGTCGTCTGCCTGCGAGGAGAACGCCATGTTGAAGAATCTCTGCAACGCCTCGCAGCTCGCAAACAAAACAATCTACAATTACAACTCTTGAAACAACTTGCAGCCTTTTGGGGACGACGACTTGGATTCAATGTGAGCAATTCCGCGGGCCACAAGAAGAGGATTACAAGCAAATGCTGCGACGCACTTCGATATGCTCTGAATAGCCCGAGCGAGCAATGGAGTCCGCATCTATGTTTAACCACCAGACAAACCAACTCATAACAGACATTTGACATAATCCCATCAGCCGTCTGGACATAGGTAGTTTAGAACGGTTTTTCTTCCAACGCCATTATTCCATTCAAGAGAGGGCTTAAACATTAAGCAATATGCATGCTACTCTCTCTCTCATCCCCCAAAGTTGTCCGGACGATCTCCCGCCCCCTCCGCGTGCTGTTTTTTTTATGCACCGGATTTCAAACATTCTCTTTCCGCATTTTAAGCAAAATGATTGTCTCCGGTGCTTCAAAATGGTGGCCTCATGTTCGGATCGGCGCTTTGCTTCCGTCGTTCAGAATGGCACTCGCGCCCCTCCCTCAATTCCCCTCCTCCGCCTTCCTCGAGTCCTCGTGTTCCTCGTCCTTCCACTACAATTCCTACTGCTGCTGTTTGTTTCGCCCCACCGCGGGCCACCTGTCTGAAGCCGTCTTCCTCGTTGGCGCCCCTCCATTCCCCCTCCTCCGCCTTCCCCTGGCCGTCCTTCTCCTCCTGATCCTTCAACTTTAAATCCTGCTGCTGCTGTTCGTCCTCATACCTTTTCCTCCCGCTCATCCTCCTGCTCACCCGCCATGGCGAGGTCTCATTCTGCTGTGCGTGGGATGTCACGATGCTGGACCTCCCAGCAGCCCTCGAAAGCGGCAACAGTGTTGCATTTCGCAGCCGCCAGGGACGGCGAGGCCTCACTCTGATGTGCGTAGGACGTCACCACGCTGGAGCCCCCAGCAGTCGCATTTCGCAGCCCCCAGGGACGGCGAGGTCTCATCTTGATGTTCGTAGGATGTCATTATGCTGGACCCCCCAACAACCCTCGAGCGTGGGATAGTTTCGCAGTTCGGCAACGCTCAGGGACGGCGAGGTCTCATTCCGATGTCCGTAGGAAGTCATTATGCTGGACCGCGGCGACAATTTTACACTTTGAGTGGCGACAGTTACTCAGTTCACAGTCGCACAGGTAGCAGCGCAGGAAGAGACAGGAGCAGGGTGGAGGAGAAGGAGGGGTGGATACTACAGTGCCCTTTTTTCAACACGAGAGCCCACAATAGGACGGTTGGGATTAGTGCCCAGCGACAATGGATCACCTCAATTCAGAAACCTTCCTTGACATGAACGGGAAGCGCTTGACATCAAAGAGCTTGGCAAGAACGTGCACCAACATCAGATGCGCATGTCGCGTAGGCGCTCTTCCCGAACGTCCACAATACCAAGTGGACTTCGCTATCCACGTCAATTCAGACGTGCCGCTGACCCCGGACGTCCGCCAAAAGAACCATATTGAATTCACGATCCGCGCAAATTCCGACGTGCCGCTCACTCCGAACGTCCAGAAACAAGACCAAATGGAATTCACAATCCGCGCAACTTCAATCACCGCTCACCGCGAACGTCCACCAAATATACCAAGTCGAATTCACTACCCGCGCGAAATTAGACGTTGCTCTTACCCCGAACGCCCACACAAGATATCAGGTGGAATTCACTTTCCGCGCGAGTTCAAGACTTGTTGGATAATTTGTCGAGCGACATGCCCTGTTAGTAACACAACTGTTGAGACCCCATCGGTGTTTCAATAACTTCGCCTTCGAGGACCCGTCCTAAGGAAATGTTTGGAGGATGTCTCTAGCGACACGCTTTGATTTTATCAACACTGTTAAACACCCATGGGGCTTTCAATAATTTCGCTTCTTGGGCCATCTTGGAGGTCATCCGAGATCGCTCCGAAACGATGCCCTACAAGAACCCTGTGCGCATCCAATTGTTTTGCGAGGATGTCTGTGGCGAAACGCCAACTTTTGGAGGTCAGCGAGTTAGACCAACGATTTCAACATCCCCATGTTCCAAGGATGTCTCGAGCGAAACGCTCATGTTTAGTATACTGCGTCTTAAACGAACACCTCCAAGATCTCGATTGTGTGAGGATGTCTCGAGCGAAACGCTCGTTTTGAGAGCCATCCCTGACATGAACGGGAAGCGCGTGAAAGGACGAGTTGCGCAACAACTTGCAGTATCATCGCGATCACATAAAATATAGGCAAGCTCTCCGACCGCTCACAAAGGATACGTATGGACACGCGCCCCACGAACGTTCACAAGCATTTTCCGGATGATCATCATTCTAACTCCTCCGATTGTGGAGGACGACGGCGAAAACGACGACCGTGGGAGGGAGGGAGGGGGGAAGCAGGGAAGCACTGAAGAGAACGCGTCTGCTCACAGACACCAATCTAAGAGGAAAAAGGAAATCCCCAGACTCCCAGTCACCCCGTGAGGGACTGCCCAGTCTTGGGGTGCTTGCCTCTCTGGAGAGCACTGAGGACTGACCTCCTGCTCTTGGGCAAGTCTTTGGGGTCAGGGCAGGGGGGGCTGAAGGCCTTCCGCACCCTGACGGACCCGTAGGCCCCGCGCCGCCGACACCAGACGACCGTGCCCGTGGCGGCGACGTCGTGCCCCCCTGGCGCGTGGCACCACTCCGCCGCCGCAGGCTCCCCAGAGCCCGCAGCGCACCCCAGCGGGGCCCCAGCCTCGCCCTCGCGGGCAGGCGCAGGCCCCCCCACACGCGGCCTCCACAGAGGCCAGAGACGCCGAACCCCCCGGCACAGCCCCGCCAGAAGCCCCAACCCCGCCAACGCAGGCGGGCACAAGCCCCCCCAAGCGCACCCCAGCCGAGTCCCCAGCCACAGCGGCCCCGAGCCCAGCCTCAGCGGGAGCGGCCCCAGCCGAAGCCCCCCCCCCTCCCCCCCCCCCCCCCCTCCCACAAGCACCCCCAGGCCCGCCAGACAGCCCCCCCACAGACCTCCAGCGGGCCGTCGGCGGCCTCGCAGCGGCACTGGCGGCAGCCTCGATCAGATTTGCCTGCATTCGGGAAATCGTGGAAGGCACGCACCGTCGATCCGTGCCTCCCGTCAACTGTCGGCGGGCTTCAGCGGTCCTCGCTGTGCGACGGCATCGTCGACACATGAGCCTCCCTCGGGTCTCGATGAGGTCATGCTCGTGGATTAGCAGCACCATTCTGGCTCCACTGGCTTTGGGAGCTCTGCTTGGGGCCGCCGTCAGGACAGCCTTCTCAGCCCACAGGTCAAGCTGGCAGCTTCTCTGGACCGCCCAAGACAAATACTTGGCGTACTGGGCTGCCTCAGTCAGCGAGTCCTTATAGAACCTAGCATGGGCCTCTGGGAGCTTGACCGAGAGGGCTCCTAGCTGGCAAAAAAGTCGACCCAACCATTTCCCACGACCCAGAGGTAGGGAGGAGGCGGAGGGCCCTCAGGAGCGGGGAAGGGAACCTCATCCTCAGTCCTGTGTGACGGGACCCATGCAAAAGCGGGCGGCGTTCTTTTCAGCGCCACCAGCTGCCGCCAAACTGCAGGGTATGCACGACTCGCATCTGTGAGGGCCTCCGTTTTTTCTTGGCCCCACAGCTTGCCTTCTTGCACACATTCCAGCAAGTCAGAAATCACGCACTGGACAGATGGCATGTACTGAAGGGCCTTGAGGCCCGCAACACGCTCAGCACGTCCCACTGTCTGCTGCGCGCCAGCAAGCCCGCCATGCAACGCGCGAGTGGGGACTCCATTGGCATTCAGCATGACAGCGGACCATCCACACCGACGGAGCTCGGGACACTCATTGTGGTATCCCGAGCCATCAGTAAAAACGCAATCGCTCCACTGTTCGGGATCCGTCTCCCAATCTCCCCAAAAGAAACAAGGCGGCGACTCAGGAGGCTGCGGCACTTCAACCTTGGGCCACCTAGGGATCCCGACCGAGAGGGCAAAATAATCAACATCCTGGCGGCCTTCCCCAATCGGCCTGTGCTCCAACATGGTGTCGCGAGCTGCGGCCAACTTGGGATCAAGACCACAATCTTCTTCATCGTCTAACAAGCGCTGCGTCAGTGCTGGGCACTCAACGAAACAATGGCCAAGCGTCCCAGCCTCGTGCGGGCACGCTCGACACTTCTGATCATCACACATCCCTTTGCTATGCAACTTAGCTTTCGGCCAGAGAGAGCCAGACCACAGACTGCGCAGAGCTCCGACCCTCCCCGCCCCAGTCACAGCCGCCCCCCTCCCGCCCACACAAGCTCGCAGGCCTCGCGGCCGCAGAGGCGTGGCGGCGTCGTGGTGAGAGGCAATCTGGCGCATTTGCCAACGCTGGATCCCCTGCCTCAGGAGATCTCAAAAAAAGCGAGGCGATGTGGCTAAGAGCGAAATCACTGGCCCCATGTCAGGCTGGATCAGCACCGACGACAACGTCACCCAGCCGATCCGCTTGAGCGACAGGACGACCACCTTGAGCGGCCCGCGCGCTGACGACCACGTCAGCTTGTCCTCGCCCGCCTCGGCCTTGTCCAGCGTCGCGCGCCGGGCCTTCTCCAGCGCGCTCTTGGACACCGCCTGCTGCCGCGCGACCGAAGCGTAATGCATGAGCGGCTCGACGGTCGCCGCGAAGATAGGGTCGTGCCGAGGGTTCCGCTCGCTGGCCAGGTAGAGGGCGTTGCTGCCACCTCGGCCCTTGGCCCCAGCAAGTCGGGCCGCCTCCGAGCGCAGCGCGGCAAGCTCGGAGGGGGCCACCCCGCTCACCGCCGCTCCGTGGGCGGCAGCAGGCAGCAGGCCCGTCTGCCACAAGCGCGCCGCACGCCCTCCAGCAGCTCGTCGTGGCCTCGCCGCGCGCCTCAGCCGCGGCCTCGCGTTCTTGAGCCTGGCCTTGACGACCTTCCTGCAGGCCTTGGTCCCATTCAGGTCGTGACCAAGGTTCCTCATGTGCGGCTGCGAGCCCATCCTGAGTCGCCT